CGATGGGAAAAGTCCTCCATTTCTGTATTGCTCGGGCCGTTGTTGCCGATAGCGTAGGAGTGCGCGGTGGCTTAGTCTAGTTGGGTAACGTCCCTCGTTTCTAAACACTGTTTCCATATCCTGCGGGTCGAAAACATGTACAACGATGCGACCAGCAACCACTTTTTCAAGCACAAGCGGACCAAACATTTTCCTCATCTTTCGGGCGTTTATATGCATTTTCGTGATATCAAAAGGGCCTGCAACAATGGAGCAAATTAGCTATATCTGATTATACAAAATACTGCGCAGCTAACTTACTCGAAAATACCCGAATGCAACTAACGACATGATATCGCTTGTGTTTACAATGTCATTGTAATTATCATGTTATAATCAATCAAGCAATAAACACTATGAAGAACGCACGCCCGGACTGTACCTGCATTTATTGTTGACACACGACTCATCTTTATATTTAGCTACTATTAGCATCGATTCCAAGAAATAAATAAATGATAACAACGCACCTTTGAGGAAAATCCCAATGCGAATAGTACATCTATGTCCGTCTACTACTACTACTGCTACAAGGTATTCAAAAGTGTATTCCATGAAAACGGACCTTGGACGTGCCATGATGTTGATTGTTGTATTTCAAAAGGCCATGATACGATTATGTTCTTCCCCAGAATCAACAAGAAATACATTTATCGAACAAAAATTAGCTCATTTTCACGGTTTTGAGTTAATCAAAACCAAGCGACCGTCGTTATTCGACCTGTATAGCAGCGAAGGCATCGATTCATCTATAGGCACTTTCAGTGGCTATAAACACCTTATTTATCCGTTGCTTAGTTACCTCCTGGACTTGTCACACGTTTGTTGCAAAATGCAATAACTGTTTTGAACACTGTCGTTGTATTTTCTAAATGAATATGAAACGAATTGAAACCTGTATTAAACCCCCAGTTTAGGTTTTGTGTAGCCGTTTTGTTACCCTTTCATCTTATTCTCGTCAATACGTTGCAGGAATTCTTAACGTCTCATAGGTCTACTGTCATTCTATTCCAGGTAACCCACTTCCATATCAATTACTGAGTTACCTTGTTGTAATTACTCGGTTCGTTTGTCTCAGAAATTCAATTACTTTGCCTCACTAAAACGGGGACTTAGCTATTTAATTATTTTAGCTCTCTAATGGTTGTTGCGAGATCAGTTTCAGTCCGTTCGAAAGGAATCCAAGTAATTTTGCTATCTTGTAGCAGTTGTTCCATTTAGCTGTATTCAGTCTCACTAATTCCGCAATTATACCATGATCTCAAAATGAAACTGATCTTAAGATTGTAAAATATTTTGGTAGTACTAGGCTGAATGCGAGAAATGTTATAAGCCCGCAATGTCAAGATATCTTCTGGTTGAAACTCTTTTTGCCCTTGTCGCTCATCAGATTTCGACCTAAATGACTTCCCCTATCGTCGTTTCCTTGGAAAGGCTCCCATCCTGACATTCTGAATTCTAAATGACTAACCTAGAGCTTTCTTTATATTTCCAAACAAAAAGATCGCAAGCACTCAAACGTGCATGGTCGGCACCACTGGCAAGTTCCACTTCAATTCCATACCCATTTCGTGCCTGCAACATGCGTATATTCCAAATAACCACAAACGATAGCAGAGGGCCGCCCGATAGCTCGAAGCGACGCTAACACACGCGTAGTGACAACAACATTCAATAAATAGAGTATTTACGAAGAAGTTGCTATTTCCAATTTATCATTATGAACAATAGTGAAATACGTATTGCTAGAAGTGTAATTTAATGGACTTCGGTACCATACACTGTCTCTATTTTGCTAAGTAGATCATTTTTTTAAAATTTTGATGAAATGATGAAGTTTTCATCACAGACTATTTTCCTAAGGCTAAGGCAACCTATTCAAAGTAATCAAAGCTGAAGCAGCTGTTTCCGAGATGACCTCCGATGAACGTATGTATAGATCCGTCTACATACATAGATGTATATAGACGGATCTATACATACATATATATATATATATATATATAAACTTAAAAGCATAAGATTTGGTTTATTACCGTGACAATACGTGCCTCCATATAGCTGCAGGCTATAAATGTACCTCTGATAAAAAAAAGATGTCTGTGAGTAAGTCTTCGTTATGGAATGCTTGAGATAGCAATTTATCATTGTATATTATGGCATTATCCTTGACTAGAGAGGTTTTATAAAAGTGCGAACAGTAGTCAGTACCGTTGAAGCGATATTATCCGACCTGGCTGCTAAAGAAGCCTCGGTACGTCAAGTATTTTGGCTGGTGTGGACCAGTTTCAAGCGAAACCGACAAAATTGTTGAAAAACTCACCGAATGGAGGAATATATCTCCAGATGTTTCCAATGATAGGAAGCGGTTTTGGACCGGGAATTTCCTCGAAAGGTTTGACACCTTTTTGATGCTTCGGACATTCCCCCGGATGGAGCGCATAATCAGTTGATCTAACACTTTTCGGCAGACCAGCTCCCAGATGAGATTCGGTGACTCCGAAGGCTACACACAGTGATAAGAGGATTTCGAATCATCCGCACAATATATAGGCAGTACTAAAAGTTATCAGTCAGTGCATTATATCTTCACGTATTGTAGAGAAATGCACCACGTTTATAACTCGTTAGATTCAATTTGACCATGTCTGTTTGAAATGGTTTTTATCAAAACTATCATACAAACGACCAATGTTCTGAACTTCAGATCTGTGTCCTGATCTCTTTGAAACTGAACACCTGTAACGAACACGCTACCAGAAGATTTCAACAGACCACCGTTGTGATGGTTCAACCTGGGCAAGGGTTGAGGCGCCAATTATCTACATATGTAGTTGTGTATGTATCGAATATGAAAATGCAGTGTTTCTACTTACGTTAAACTTTTTGAGTTGAGCGAGTCCTGCAAAAATTCTGTTCAGCAACAAAATTATAGCGCCATCGCCCGACTTCAATAGCTAGAATACGTGTATGAGTATATATTACCAAAAATAAAAGTCCGCTTGCGATTGATTTTCTAAATAATTAAGCAATGAGATGTCACTGAACCTGCTTTGATAAATTTGTTTATGGATAAATAAGAAGACTGCTGAGAAATGGATCCCAGTTGTCAGGCAAAAAAATTAACTTAATAATTCATAATTAAGAATACACTTCAGTGAAATATTGTGGTTTTTTTTTCCAGTCGGCCGTACCACCACGAGGAACGAGAAAAGAAACATTTGTGAGAAATCGTTCATCGTTGCCCTTTTGTTATAAACAAACAGATTTACTTAAACATTAAACGGTTTTGCTGATTAAGTAGATTTTTCAATTTGTAGCCTTCCAAAACCTGAGATGGGACAAACACATTATAACTTCACCTGCTTCTAAATATTAGCAAAGAATGTCTTCGAACTTCACATTAAATCGCTGCTAATTGCTTCAAACAGAGCTAGTGCTTTCTGTTAAACGCATTTCTGTCCAACAGACAGTTTGATTTAGCGATATATTCAGTACGTGCATTATGAACAATATCTAATAGAAATAAAACAACTGAATGACGTGTTTAAGCAACCTACACTTGGCACGAGCTTTCTCCAATAACGGTATCCTGGATATGGTAGGTTTCCTCATGGTTTTTAGCACGAGCTATTACTGGGGCGCTTTTATCATTCACAGGTGGTCACCGCCTCAGGCCGCCACTTCCATCTAGTTGCCTCTTGAAAGAAGGGTAAAGATAATGAAGAAGATGTACCTTTTTTACTTCTTTATAACAAACTCTTAAAGATCTATAACTCAAAGATCTGTTACTGCTTATATTTACAATCAGAGAGAACGATCCTCTCTCAACGATTATGGCAGGGCTACAGCAGCAGTATCAGCAGCCACTGTTGAAATCTAAGGAGCAACTCGCGCATGCTTAGTTTCACGGAAGTGCGTGCAAAGTAATCTACTTTCGAGTTTCTACAATAGACATTGGAGACACACAAATAAACTTTACATTGAACCTAATAGTAAGATTTAACAACATCAAACTTTTAGTGCCTGTGCATAGAGAAACGCAGGAACATAGTACGACTGCCTGCCAGATCAGCATCTGTTTCGTTTGTACGAAACGAAACGACCTCGACATCGTACGGACCATAGCGCCAATGTCGATGAGGTCGAGTCGCGTCATGAAAAAATCACATCATGAAAACGGTTGCAAGTTTACTTATAGGTGAACTCTGTTGTGATGATTGAATATACAAAACTCAGTGGGAAGCAATAAATGTATGCGAAAACTCTAACCAGCAGATGTTTCTTCAATGCTTGAATTGCGTAAGCAGTAATAATAGATTTTAACACCTAGATGTGATTGCGGTTTAGATTGTTCACACAAACTCCCGTTAGCGCTTCTATATTGGAGTGGCACGATTATGTGCACCTGGAGTTTCGAGCATAACGCAGTTGAATTCAATATAATATAACAAACTGCGAAACTGCCATTTTTAATAGCACGAAGTGTCCTATACGACAAATGTCTACGGGAAATGACAACGTGCCAGTCGACTTCAATCTTTCATGCATCTATAATTCAGTTAGTCCCAGCTGTTCAACTGTACAAAACAGCTCCTCGTCACTAGCAAACTTACCTTTGTAGAGGAAGAAACACTACAGGCCTTTCTGTACTGCGATATCTCGACAACTGCACCAGCGAAAACCAGCAGCAATCAGACGTAGGAGAAAGGGGCTTTTAAAATAATTTCATGCGCCGATTATTATTATTATTATTATCTCGTTAGGACTGACGCGTCTATACCGGTTAGTAGCGAGACAGCGCTCCACGTCAAGAGGCAATCTTTCTCTACTCGTTCTTTTGCATTCCTTCGGGTTCTTTCTATGATGACTACCTCAGCAACGGACGAAACTGGCAGCAGAAACCCATAGGCGACAGAAAAAGGGCACAGAAGTTTCTTTCTGCTGTTCGTCACAAAGACGAAGATGAGACAGAGAGGCAAATCGACGACTGCGGAGAAAGAAATCGCTCTTGGCTTTTGTGGCCGGGCAGATACAGTACTTCAGTGGGGGGTGGGGCCTGAGAAAGGAGGTTATGGAATGGCACCGAAACCTTGAAGCCGTTTCTATATAAAATCCTCTTCAACCCTTCGCTCAACGTAGTAGCAGACTCTTCCGCACCGTCATCTCAGAACTTGCATTCGTTGAATGGAGCTGAATGGGAAATCTAGAACAAACTCGCTAATAACCTGGCGACAGGCAATCGCAAGCTTAGAGAACGCTCGTGTGGCAATAGCTGTGTGTATCGCACCGATTCGCGTCCAGCAGATGGTGTGTGTATTACACATGTACAATACAACACAGAGTATTACTATACAGCTTGCAAGATCAATGAACAGGAGAGTGAAAGTCCGATAGAGAAACGGCCCTATCAAGAAGGGAATGTTTGAGAAGCTTCAAAACTCAAGGCCACATTCTTGTTGTATTGGTAAGACGAAGAGAAACCACCTGGCGCATTTGAAATGAATTAGTACAGAATAGAACTCCGGTTTCGTCTTTGTGCCTTCAAAAAAACGAATTGATAAATGGGAACAGACATGCTCTAAATACAGGCCATTGTCGTAACCGTTGTTTTTCTGCAATAACTGCTTTGCAGAAGTTTATTTGATGTAAAGGCGTATTTGGCCACTAATTTCTTCATTAGTTTATGCAAATACCAAATGTCGCCTAAGGGGCAGCGTCGTCCAGGTGACTAATATGCATCTATTTTAGTCCGTCGCTATAGGACTTAAACTAACGATATTACTGGCATGGTGTTCAAAGTACAGAGTTAGCAGTAATTATTAATGATCAGAGGAACGTAACAAGTTAAAATAACAAACGTATTAAGGTTAATTGTTTTTGCTTATTAGTGCGCCGTTCTTGTAGGTTATAAGTACTCTTCCCGAAGTAAGCCGAGTAAGACCCTTCTGAGTATGTCAGTTCTTGATTACATAATTAAAACAAGTGATTTCTAGCACCTACGTCCGTACAATAGCTGATAGTGCTGAATATAAAAAACTTCTATAATTCTAAATGCACGAAAGTTCGTACAAATTATTGAAGACTAATAAAAACTTCGAGAGTTTATAGTCCTTTTTTTGTTTATTTATCCTTTTTTTCTGCAATATTAATTATTTTTCCCCGAAATAACAGCATATATATGAAAAAAGAACACATAGAAGTTTAGCTCTATGGGTCCCAACTTCTCGTTAAAATCTTGAGGAACTGACTTTAAGAAAGGTTAGACAGTATATAAACATTGTGTGACCGTTTCTCCTTTAACTTTGCTTGAAGTTCACGGTATTATCTGAATACCTCTTTGCAATAAAAAAAAAACGTACATTACAGAAAAAATAAATACTATCATAGTCAAAAATTTCCTTGCTTTCCTTTTCGTAGAGCCGAAATATCTTCGCGCTGGTCTTAAACTTTCCGACCAGCGTTTACTGAGTATTTAATCGAGCACTTTGTTTAATATTCAATATGAATTATACATTTAATTGAATGCATTAAATTACCTGATTGTTTACTTCAATTAAATCTCTTCCATTTAGTCCACTTTTGAGTTCAGTAGTCTCCTGGCCGAGACTTCATAACTCAGTGTATCTCCTACTTCCTCTAACACTGTCCTTGTAGAGAGTAACGTGTTTGCCTGTTAGCCTTATAAGCACGTAGTAGTCTAGGTTTGAATTTAGGCGTACACACGTTCCGTTTAGCGCTGGAGGTCATCGCCTAACAGCTGTCATAGGTACGTAAAACACATTTTCTACCAAAATAACTCGAAGTGTCTTGACGCAGATAAGCTGCTGTTCCTTTATATGTGTTCTTTCACACATAAAAATCCTTTTATTTCTTAAGCAGTTTCCACTTCGTTTTTATGTCTTTCTGATAAATATTGAACGCGAACGTAAGGATGACTGGATTTGCTTTAAGTAAATCCGTCTAGAATTCTGACTATTCAATGCTCGCTTGGCCATCACAGCACGTCGGGTGCATGGTCCAATATAGCATTATTTTTACAATGCGAATTTAGAATTTACCGATCGCTAAAACTCACCATGTTCTGTATCACTATGTGAGAAACCCTGCCATGTACATCCTGCAGATAGGTACATTCTTATTCTTAGAACTGCGCAAGCATGTCACCCTAGTAAATTTTTGTACACAGGTTTATGCAAAGGGTGTCTACCCAGTCGCCTTCCTCCGATTGTAGATTTGTTGTGGCAGTTCTCATTAGCAGATATATTCGGATCGTCATACCAAAATATGCCCATTGTTGCCGATGATGCAATATCCCTACATAAACTTATTCTAAATTCAATCAGCTACACTCGACAAAAGTCTGGATCAGTTAGCGAGTCAGTCGAAAGCAGGATGCTGATTTGCCCGTTATCGCAATTAGTAGCGACCGTGTATTAACGACGCGGCTCGACGTCGAAGTAATTTGAAGCTCAATACCTACAGTCATGGTTAGCTTTTTTTGTTTTGTAAATTATGCTGCTTCAGTAGGATACATGTTCCTTAAGTTCTGCCTCGAAAAACAATTAAGGTCCAATATTTTATTTTTTTCTTACATTTGTCTTAGGTTTCTCACTCTCGATTGATCACTCACTACACTGTAATATCTATGATCGATATGAACAGGAAACTAATGAGTTAGTTATAACTTGTACACACCCCTAACTCCAAAATGATGAATCCGTTATTTGAAGCATTATTTTCTCTGATTATTTTTTCTAAATAAGATACCATATGTAACTACAGCTCAGATTTAGTTCACATACTTTCAAATTGCATGCTTTTTATTAAAGTCTGAATTTTATGCACATTTAATAATAAACATTCAAGAAATATTGACTTTAATCAAATAGCATATAAGCTCATGTAATAGAGCCTAAATTTAAAATCATATTTCCTTTTTGATGAGACACGTAAGTAGTAATTATTGCAATTACTGCGAAAGCAAAAATCAATGAGAATCCTTCCATTCCCCTTTATCAGTTTCATTTCACATGCATAATAGCATGACATAAGTAAGAACACGTGCATTAAAAAAACATAGAAAAATGTCACTGCTTTATTGTTATTTGCTTATCGTATATTTGGCTGTTGACGTTCGTAACTATATTCATTGTATTATCCATTTTTGCTATTACTCCCAGTCACCGACGAAACCTGCGCATGTATTTCGATATGCTCACAGTAATTATAACAATGCCCAACAATGCAGCGCGCTGGACACGCTCAGCAGCATTTATGAGTCCTTTAACCAGTCCCCGTACGTTTGACAGCTTTGTTGTTGCTAATACTCAGTCGTATGCGCGTTGCCCGCTAACGTGAGCCGTAAAGGGTTACGGTTACATCATTTGCCCCATCTCAGAGCTACAGCTGGGTTCTAAATGGGGGGTGTATATCTGTTTTTGCTAAAGGTACCCTTTGGCAGCAAAAACTTGTACCTTGCACGGTCAGTCCATATCAAATAGAATTATGCAAGTTAGCTTCTGCGGTGCCAGATTCATTACGCATTGAGTTGTTTTTAGTTTTGGAAAATTCACGCATCATTTGCGCTGAATTGTATTGGCGTATCGTTTCAGCGTTCAGATAACCGTATAGGCTTTTTTAAGCTTCTGCTACTGTAGAATATAACACTTTTCCATAAGGCGCTAGCTTAATGATCGACGTACTCCTATTCAAAAGAATACATCTATTTTGGAAGTCTACGGTTTGCTGCGGGACGCACTGTAATGCCCAACTTATGGAGCGTAGTTAAGTATAACGAAGGTCTGTTATTATACTGTGCTATTCATGATTATACATGCGGTAATCTTGTAAACACTGCTCTAATAGTTCACATTAGTTAGTAGCAAAGGAACACTTTTGCTCCTTATCTTGTCCGCAATCTAACATACATGTATATTATTAACTAATTATAGCACTGCTTATAATATGATAACAAGCCACGTCCGCGCGTCAAGCTTTCGCTTTTAGGTGAACGGGGATGCAATATGGGACAAAACGTTTTCTCCAAAACAAACTCACCTTTCTTTTTTGCATCTCTTCGCTTAGTTCAGCATTCTAGCCCTAGTTGGCCACACTGACAACCATCATTATATTACTATTATTACTATTGTTTTTATCACTCTATTCAATGGAATCGTTTGTTTTATCCATTGCACTTCTGTTTCACACCGTTAACTGCTTGTGTATAGCCTAGTAGTTTTTGGGTTCAACATACAATAAAAATTATATATATAACACTTTTGCAACACCTTGCATGAATCTAAAAATACGCTATGCAATGAAGTCTTGTAGTGCGCCATAATAACCTGTATTAACGATTACGGAGAGCGTAGATCAGCGAATCCTAACGTTCTAGTAAATCTACACAGTAAATCCCAGTAGAGCGAGCGCCGTTTTGTCTGCTTGTGTGTGATGTTGGCTAAACCTGGAATAATATGGAAACTGTATAATGTTTGAGATAAACGTTTTAAGGCATTTCTTCAAGTCGATCTGGCGGAGAGGATCGCTCAACATTTCAGGATCATCATCTTCGGCGTCATCCAAGTCGCTTGGATCCACCGTCCGCATGACATCAACAATATATTCCAAATTATCACCAGCCTACAAAATCGAGCATAAACGTTTTAACATGACAATCTACTAGAAGTGATTGTAAACAGAAATGGAGGCACAATGACACTGCTCCGAGTGCATGACGAGTAGAAAAGTTTCACAAACGTATCATTTCCTGCACAAAATATCCCAAATTTTAATTTCTCTAACTCGTGTATTATTCGGATGTGTAATTGAAGTGAGAGTTGATCTTTACCTCGCATCGATCCTGCCCGATATCCTCGTTTTCCGAATCTGTGTCGGAATCGTCTTCCCAATTCTCTTCGGACTGCTGGATCAGGTCGCGTAAGATGAGTTTGTACATTTTCACTACAACCGGGATCTCTGTCCACTGAGTTGGCTTTTTCGCTCGCTGTGAGCGTGTTTTTGGGCCTGTGTTAGTAAACGAATGAAAAACTGACTGAGAAACTAATCTGCCAAGGCGTGTTCTCTCTGTGTGGATGTACTCTGATGAAGTGTATTTTTATCACTAGAGTTGTTCAATTTTATAACTCATTGCTCCTCAAGCTCATCAACTTACCCATCTCATTCAGGTCGACAATTTCATCACCTTTCACGGTAATGTTTAGTACTCGTTCATCGTTTTTGTTAAGGGCGTGTTCGACCAACTTTGTCAAAGCAAGCAGCGTGACCTTCGTATCGTGTGACCCGTAGAAAAGTTGTTGCTTATTGCACCACTCGGCAAGTACAAAAGCCAGGGCAGACTCGCCACTTGGGCCAGGGACTGAAGACAGAAAATCAAGAAGCGCCCCCAGATCAGTGTGCACCAGACGAGCAAATACTAATATGAGGTTCTGTGTGACTGAACACGTTTCCGTATGTAGTAGTTTGCTAAGTACAGCCCGTAAAAGTCGTTCGATGCCTTCCTGACCAAGGTCTGCCATGCCACGGGCGACCAGTGTGCAAACAAGGCGGCCCACGAATGCCGCCGCACTTTCGGGGGTCTTGGGGTCTAAGAGGTGCTCACACGCCTGCAAAACGAGGTGGAGTCCGGTCTGTCCCTGGTCATTTCGCCACTGCACCAGCTGAGGATATGCAGCGAACACATAGGCGCGTAAACATTCGCCCCCGTTCTGCATACAAGTTATGTCGTCGGTGGACAGCACGCACGCGATACATGCCGGAAAAGCCTGCGTGATCACAGGGTCTGGCAACGGGGCAGGTGAATGACGAACGAGGGTGGCGAGAATATCCAGCGCGACCTAAAACATATAAGGCGTTCTACAAGTCAGTAAAATCTCATCAAAGAAAATATTAGTTTGCAATAACTTGCAGTTTATGTTGATTGTCATTAAAACTTATATCGTCCTTCTTTATGTTTTCATTAACTTGAATATTATCTGTGAGTGACTTAATTCTTATAATAAATGTCTCACTTGTTGGAACGTTATTCTAGTTTTTCCAATGCAATTTATATAAACGGACAAATGGCATCAGACAATTAGTTCTATTCACTGTCAAAGCTGCCAAAGTATGCTACGTATCTCTACATACCCCCGGCATAGAGCTGGGCATTGTGGCTTGTTGTTGGGCATGGTCATTGGGTATTGTAAGAATCTGGATAAGCGTGGGTAGTAACGTTCCGTGTAGTGTACTGCTACACGCTGGAACCTTTGATAGTTCTTTAAAGATATCCTGTGCTAGAGAAACCAGTACAGTATCGTTTGAATGCTTCAAAAATACACCAATTGTTAGCGGGGTGATTTTTGGCTCGAGCACAGCCGTAAATTCTGGATCCATCTGTAATAAATAAAACCGACCGTGTTATAGGTTTAGGATTACAAATTTAGCCCAATTACGAAATAACAAATAGGTTGGTCCTGTCAAACAACTTCGTTTGACACTAATTTAACATACACGCTTACCGAAACGAGAAGTGTAAGAGCTTCCAGTACAGTCGACAGAGCTGCCGGTGTAGCCTCTCCAGCCATTCTTTCCAAAGCCTCGACAGCTGGTCCCAAATATGGCTGGATCAACGTTTTTCCCCCATTCACTTTCAAGTAATCACAGAAACTGTGCAAGGCTTTCGCTGCTGCAATTCGTAACACAGCTGGCTGGGAGGGCTGAAGTGCAGTCACTGTACTGCCAATAAAGCTATAAATGATAGAAAATAGGTATTGCAGAATGTATATCATTAATGTTTCATGTCTTTATTATATATAAACTAAATTATTTTCAGACCATTTAGAACAGCATATAATTACCGTCAATTAAACACACCTTTGAAGAACGGGATGTTGCATACACGACGCATATTTAGACGCGAAACAGAGACAACGCCCCTGGAGAAATGGGTTGGCACCAGGCATATTGATGTCCTCAACGATGAGCGTTTCTAGCATACGAGTCTGGAATTCGAATGACGTCAAGTTTTTTGCCCGAGTATACGTAATTATCTATTGATGACAACATCATTTGTACAAAATGTCTACGAGTTTTTTCTTAGTCGAGTCGAGAAGTTCTTTATAGGTAAGTGACATACGAGGTACCTAGCCTGCCATACAAACTTTCTAGCAAAAAAATACAAACATATGAACTAGTGTCCTGAATGAACGTTGTTAATAGCAAATGATAATCGTAGAGACAATAATGGATGTATTAGCGGAAGACATACCAGGTTGAAATCTGGAGGCATCTGATTTTGCTTGAATTTCTCTGTCAGTAGCTCAGACATCGCTTGCAATGCAAACATCGATGCCTCATGCAGTTTCCACCAGTTGGGATCTCCTGCTGTCATGGCAACTTGTGACTCCCGCAGATGACGGCTCACGGCACTGCACGCTGGCAGTACGCACTCGTCGTAGAAATCCGCTTTCAGTGTCTACATGGCCATACGGCCAGGAAAAGCAACAATGTATATACGAAATTGTAATAGATAAACCGAATGCCCATCTCTATATGCACACCTAAAATGACCCAAATGGTGGTATTACACTCCTGTATCCATTTCCTTAGTAAAACTAGAATTCAATACCATAAACCATTGTTTTACTACAAAAAGTGCGCTCCTATTCTGGCCTTCTTTTGAATATAACTACATGTCTGCGAAGTTCACCTAAGTACGACCACTTAGAGTTATGACAAAACAATGCATAGGAATCCATTGCATAACATAATAGGAACTATTCTTGCGACAAGCCATATTCGAACGTCTCTCAAAAATTTAAAGGAACAATCTTGGCTGTTTATTTCTTAAGCACGTAGCGTGTATTATATGAATCTTTTCCTCAGTCTCTAACGCGTTTTAGAGGCGATTCGCTTACGAAGACTGAGAAATGAATGCTATTAAATCCGAACAGCATTTAAATAAAAGATACTATCAACCTGCAAAACATCAAGCGCTGATATCCGGACACCGAAGGCGAAGGTGTCTTCGTCCTCTTCCTCTGCATATTTATCGGCGTCAGATGACCAATTCTGTATTTGCTCGCCGGTTATCTATGGGGTACCAAGAAAAAAATATCGTATTGAGGAAGTGTCAGCAACGACCTCTTTGAATTAGTCAATTGCTTTTATTAAACACGAATCGAACGGTTAAAACGGAACTGCGTGTTTATTTGCGCGTCTTAAGCAAGTTCTCAAGCAGCGCGTTATTATCAATAGCACATGATATTTCGAATATTCAAAACCCCAATTATATATGTGTATTTTCTAAATACCATATTAACAGTCGATGGAGGTGGATGATAAATTTTGAAAAGAGCTACGTTAAATATAGTACAAATATTATGTTAATATGTTATAAAGTTATGATATTATGTTTACATTTATATGTTTATAAAGCATAGATTCAACGCTGCAAGTTTTCATCATAAATTCTAGGACTTAGCTTCAGAGGAAAATGTAGCATGACGTTAAAGCAAGTACATATACAGATATTCCGTGGGGTAAATTGTATGAAATAGAAATTGTTGCTCATCGTTCACGATGATTCTATCGAATATCGATGAGTCGCTATCGAAAATTGATAAGTTTTATCTTAGAATATACTCACTTGCATGTAAGCTATTAGATAATAGAGAAGATCTTCCATAGCCGTGCTGACAGGCTTTTGAAGCTTTGGACTTTCAATCAGTGCCTGCACAAACTCGAAGATTGTTTGAACTAAACTATGGATACCGTAGACTTCACCTGTAAATACAAAGCTGACTTGTTACAACAGATTTTTTGTTTATTCAGCTGCTCAGAACGATGTGATTGCATTGTCATACGACCTCTGCAAAAGCATATTAAGTATAGCGTTAGAATATGTATGGATTTCGTTTTGTTCAGGAAGCACCCCCAAAACTTACAGCCATGAACTAGTCATAGCCAAATCCATTAGAATATATGTATATAATAGTATATATACCCGTCATGTGTCTAGGTTAGCACTTTTCAGAATGTTTTACCATCCGAATCGACCTCGTCCTCGTTATCCACTGTGTTGTTGACTCGCTCCTTCACGTAAACCTCCGCCGTCCCAGTTAGCGTTGACCATACGGGGCCAAGTATCTCAGGAAGGAATGGCAACAGGACTTTGTCGCGAACCCTCACCAGTTCTTTGAGTGTACTTAGTACCTCTGTTTTGAGAGCTGGATTGAATTGTTGCGTATGTGGTACATTGAGGATGTCGACAAAAGCTCTTATAAAGCCCGGTAGAAAAGGATTGAGCTGCATTTTAACGACGTTTTTTTCAAAAGAGCTCATGGACAGTAGAATCTGTTAAGAGAAGCAATCGAACAGGAGAACAATTTCACACGTTGAGGCTATATCGTGCGCGCATTAAGTAATGATTCCATTAAAGATTCTCTAGATAGAAACAACATGTCTTCATATAAACATATTCAGTACCTGGGCACAGGTGGAGAAGACCTGTACGGCACGTAGCTTAATCTTCTCAGATGAGGTCGCAGAAATTAGAAGAGTATGCATCTCGGGAAGAACGACGGGGACCATGTGAACCATTTGATCGTCCGTCACCTGACACTGGGTAAACTCTGTATGCACGCAGTTATTCAAATCAGGTTTAAGAATATGTCAGTAGTCCATCTGCACGAGCATACCCTGTTCTTTTCTATACCACAAACACATTCGGCGTACTGCAAAAAGCCATGTCAACTTACGTATATATAATGAAACAGAATCTCGAAATCATGCAAAACCACGATAATTGTACAAGCTTGGATTCGGTCAAGCCGGTTTTAGCAAAAACGCACATTGTTACTACTCCTTTTCGTATCTCGAATAAAATGCAAATCGTCGGTGTGCCATTATCTGAGTCATTCAAAAGCTGGCCTTAACATGCAGTAGGACTTCATGTGTGCCTATGGTTGACAAATCATAATTTTTGGCCTGCCGAACTTGGCAATAAACGATTGCGAATAAACAACTTTTACTAGCCATAATCATAGTCTTTTCTAGGAAGGCAAGCGTTTTAACGTTAGCTTTGTTGCGCGACTAATTTCTTGACACGATATTGTTAGTGGCCCATATATTTCCACATTTGCTTCAGATAACTCTACCTTGCAGAGTTATACGGACCCACGACACAGATGTCTTGAATCGATAATTTCTCAAAGATGAATGAATTCTAGGGAGCTCATAGTAAAAAAGACTAATGTATTGATATTTTTTAATTTTCGATAGCACCAGTTACCTTGATAATAAACAAACTCTAACTACTGTGTATATACCATATATATATATATATGGTACGACACTTAAATTGGGACTTTTTCTGACATTGTCTCTAAATAAGCGAAATTATTCTAACAAAAAGATTTGCTTTTACTCGAAGTGTTATTTCTGGCGGTTCATTTTTAATGAATATAACCACCATTCTCCGCTTCTTAGCTTCAATTTAAGACCTAAACAATTCCCTAGTAATTTTTTAAATATTCCTTCTTTCATCCGTAATGCACTTTTGCTCGCCGCGCACCAAGCGATATGGATAAATTTAAACTCCTTAATGTTGCCAAAATACGCTGCATGGTAAAATTTTTAGCGGAGCTCGATCTTAATGTAATAGCAAGCTAAAGTCCTGAAAATTCCACATAGGCCTTAAATTTCGGGCAAACCCACAATTTTCAGTTGAGTGCTTAAAATGTAAATAATAACTGACATTTACTCAATTTTCAAAAACGACGCACTCTTGTCCATCATGGCGAGTTTCTCGTAAAGAACTCGACTTTTTTTTTATCTATTACTAGAAAAAAAGCGACGATGTCCATGACGACTAACACCCCCCATAGTTTGTGTAATAAATTTAGGTAACATACCTTATATGATAAAATGGAATGTGCAATACGATCTTAATTCAAATCGAGCGTCGGATTATAAAATTTTACTACTATGAGGAAGCGAAGCCTTTTGCTTACAGCCCAAACAAACATTTCTCTTATTCCCGAGTATTCCAGTGACGGTAGATGCTCTAAAACGCTTCAAATGATATCTAAATTATCAAAGAAGAATAATTCTACGACTTTCACAAGCGCTGAGTACGTTTATACTTTTAAAAGGCAGCGTCCTATATGTATTCTAGTTTCAGCGAACGCATAACTACTCATCCAACTAGATTACTTACCAACAAGCACCTTCATAGTACCGTCGACGACATGAACATCATTTGACTTGAGTGCTTGCATGAGTATACGAAATAACTGCTCCCATTGTTCCGGCCAGTCAAAGTAAGCGATTTTTGAAATAGCGTACGCTATTGAGCCTCGAAGCTTTTTTTGCGCCTCCTAAATCGTCCGAAAAAGTCATGTCAAGTCGTCCCAAAAAACCATATTAGTTCTCCGATCAAAGGTTTTATCTGAGTGCGCTTACTTACAAGCAAAGAAAGGTGTGTTCGTTAGGGCACATTCAAATCTATAGTGCATAGTGCGTGAACATGTTTAAATATATGCACCTTGAGTCCAAGGGGCAACATCTGTCGAACTCTTTCCTTGGTTTCCGATGGGCATTCCGGAGGGGTGAACTTGTCAGACTCCTTCGACCAATGAAATTCGACATATTGCTTTAGCAGAACTGAGCCCAATTGTCGAGATGCGAAGTCGTGTGAGGGATCTAGGATAATCTCACACAGGTGTACCGCAAATGCTGAAAATCCATAGCATATATTAAAGCAGTCGGGCCACAACAGCATAAACATGATTTACGAACAACAGTCATCAGCGCGTGGATTGTGTTTTAAATAGATTGAAAGGCACTTGATATTATTGACACCTATCCACCTTTTATACGTGTTGAGACAGTCACTGATACATTCTTGGATAAGCAAGCAAAAAAATCTATGCACGTGATATCTGTGACGATTCCCATATTTATGTTTCATTAATAAGTTCCCTTTCTGCGATATTTCGCGCAGTCATTTCGGGCAAATTTTAGCCTCTCTACCGCAATAATGGATGCACGACTTCAACTTTTGATACCATTTGAGCTTTGTATTTTTATTATAAGCCAAGAATAGTTATATGTTTCGAGTATTATCACCTTCTTTTCTTTCATAAAAAGCTTTTTGACTTATACCAAGCATTTGTATATACACGGGTTGTGTTAACACATAAACATATATGATATGCTTCAATATGAGCTGCATATAAATAGGCCCTATATAACTTGGTTGTACTGCGCTTTTCGTTATCTGCTGATTTTCCTTTTTTTTTGCGGCTTTTAGTTGACTTGATGACTTTAATGTTCATAAGCTGCTTACCTTCGGTAACTTCGAGTGCCTTGGCTCTATTCTCGGCCTGGTTACGAATGTTGGAATCGGCACTTTGCAGCTGGCTGAGAACCTCGACAAGGGCCTGACGCAACCCTGTTTCCACGGTCGTTCCACCAACCATGTTTTATAGTAGCCTTCGTTTCTCCAGACTGCGATGCTAGTGGCCCTCTGTGGCAGCCGGCTTTCGAAATTCGTGCCTAGACGGACCTGGTTGGTACTTGAGTCTTGTTGGGAAACTGTACCCAATTTGTGGTTAAGTCACCAAGAGACTTATCATGTAATGATGCCACTTGTTTTTGACACTTAGGAAACTGATTGCGGACAGTCCCGTTTTCACTGACGTAAGACAAGAACTTACAACTTACGCGATCATGCCGGAATAGCAACAACGCACAGAGCGGAGTTATCCGCGTAAACCGGAGGACCCGGTAGTAGCGATACTAAGTGAATATACAAACACGGACAGAACGACCAAGAGAAATTGTGCCCGTCACCCCCCTCCGTCTCGATAAAGCAGCCGATTGGCGCCAAAATGCGGTTTCCGCGCTCAAGTCGGATTACCATGCAACTGCGCCGTGTGACCCACCGCTTACTGCAGCAATTTTTACACCCTGTAATCACGTGCGTACATATTAAATATAACAAATAACTGATCGGAAAGCTAGAGGAGCATCGACACGACCATAGTAAAAGCTTTATGGTAGACTTCATTATGCCGTTGTCTTATTCCAAGTAATACCCATAAGTTGTAAAGAAATATATACGGATTTAGTAGCTGTTTCATATATTATACTACTGCCGTGATTGGCAGTACCACTGTTTTTGTTGCTGTCATCTTTTTTTTTTTATTATTATCTGGATAATAGCAATGACTAAATCGATAATCTCCTAATCATAAAAATAGCGTATATCTAACTGTCTCTCTTTCTTGTATACAGTGCTAGCACACGAGTTTAGTAACAATGGAAATTTGTTTTCCCGGAAATTTCATCTTCTCACAATGATTTACGTTCAAGCATAGCATTATAGTAATTTATTATAACATCCTTTTTAAATTTCAATATGGATCTCTACAAATGATTTCATTCTTTCACTCTTGTTTTCTCTCTTTCCCAGCTAGCAGACATAATATATTCTTTTTATCTAAACCTCACACACGCCCGAATTTTACACTGTATCTTGCAGAGTGCCGGCGTTGGCGAAATCTGGTGCCGACAGCCTATTGCTGATGTGTCGTTAAGTGTCGTGCTTTGTTTGGAGCAGGCTGCTAGGCAGCGGGTGCTTTTGTGTGAGCTGCAAATAGTGCATAGCTCACCGGACCGGCTTGAAGCGTCCGGCAAAGAATGATCCTCGCAAATCTGTGTGAATTTGGCAAAAATATGCTTATATCGACATGGCTAATTGTCCTACTAGCTTTGACTGGGGGTGTTTTAACACAAGACGTAGGTTCCTTGGAGAATACCAACATTGAGAGGACCATAGACATAGCCTCTCAGCTGGTTCGTACGACAGTGAAGATATCAGTAGAAAACAAAGGATCCACCCCCGTTTCGAATTATTATTTCGCCCTCCACCCAACAGAAGTGAAACACCTCAGCTTTATTTCGGCCACAGTGAGTTCAATTCATGAGTTCATATGATTGATTTTGCTTGGAAAACTTAAACAATGTCTAATATTAGATGCTTGAATTCTTCTAGAAGCGTGTAGAAGCTCTGTTATATTATGGGAATTTTATACGTAGAAGGATGTTAGTATACAGAAACTTGTATTAAATAAACATGATACTAACTCAATAACTTGCTTGTCGAAACATCGCTATTTACAGAGTGAGGCCATCCCATTAACAGTCGTCGTGGATAAGGCTGCTTCGCCCGACAAGTACGTATCTACTGAAAAAGAAATCGTGTAGTGTAGATATTGACAGACATATTAGTTAATGTCGTTGGTCATATTGCCGAAAGCTTTTACCAGCTTGTGAGCTTTTTCGATATGTCTGGCAAGGTCTGCAGCTTTCAGTGGAATAAAGCGAGTCCTAGCTAATAGGGTAGAATATTATCTGTGCCTTCGTCTTGAATAGAGTGTGGTTTCTATAAACTAAGTAGACTTCGCATGTGGAACGTAGCTAATTTGCCCATTTGGAATGTTAACGCTGTGCTCGCCTAAGTACTGAAGTCTGGGTGGTTGCCTCCTTTCGATAACATAACATGCGCCTGCTAAACAAAAAGCTGTGAAAGGTTCATCGTATCGATGGATTGGTGTGAAAACTTTTTTTCATTTTTTCTGCAACGATATAGAAATTCATTATATGCAGTTAAAGACTGTGAGTAACTTTGCCATCATATCTAGGGCATATAGTTAGGTTACTATTAAGCGTACTCACACTGTGTAGATACTAAAAATATTTCTATATTCTCGTACAGGTGGGGAAAACCTGAAAGGAAAATGAATAGGGTATAGAATAAATTGTCCTGTCTAAATTAATCTGATAACAGAAATGATTGTGGATAGAGAGAATGGTATAGCTGAGTGAACTTGTAATTTCATATTAACCTATGACAAGCTTCCGGCGAGTGCCGCGCGTCATTAAATTGTTTTTTTACGTTCATTGTTCATGTTTAATTATTAGTTGATTTCGAAGGAGAGCCAATGGTTACATGTGTGTATAGACAATATCACGATAAAGGCGTTCTAAAGAAAACCTGCGCTCAGTTTTATTAGAGCCATTACAGCAATCATTATTGTTTTTAGTTATCATAATATGAGGAGAACACACGAGTCGGCGTGAAGTTTTCTTGACTACCTTTCCTCAAAAAGCAATTCCGGGTGTTTCTGTGCAGAGATCAAGCTGAATTCTGTACTTTTGCTGCCCGATAACAGCTAACTTAACCTATTATGCTATTGAAAAGTATTCACATGTTGTATTTACAATGAGCATATAATATTGATAAAATTATTCTGAGGATAACACACGGGCTAGCTTGCTGTTACAAGTTTGCTCGACTAAAATTCCTCGGAGAGAAACATGTCAGACATTTCTGTACTAAAGCGTCTAAATCGCTTCTGTGCTTTTGCTCTCTGACAACATTGAGGCTTCAAGCATTGCTGAAATTAGCCAATCATTAATTATGAAGCAGCCGTAAAAATTTGATTTCTTTGACAGATATATGGTAAACAGCAGTTGATCGACTCTACAGTTGCTTTTGGCTTATTTAAGGGTAGTTACATTTCTAGTTATAATAAAAACCAAATATTATTCCATCACAAATATATCCATTCAAAACACATGCATATGTACTTTATTTAAAAAATGCTTTTTCCCTTTTTATGTTGCTCTATCTAACGTTGTAAAATATTTTCTCCCATTTCAGTGCAGTGCTATATAAAATTTCACTGCCAACTCCTCTATCTCCGGGAAAAAGTATCAAATTGGATGTGATGACCGTCCTCACCCATCAGCTTCAGCCATTCCCAGCCCAGGTGCAACAGGGCGACAAGCAACTGGTGATTTACAGGGGCAGTCACCATCAGCTCTCGCCGTATTTTACGACCCGGCAAACAACAAAAATCCGGTTGGCGTCAAACCGTGTTGAAAGCTACACGAACACCGAGAAGCCAAACGCTCAGTCTGAGTCGTCGGTTACCTATGGGCAATACACAAATGTGGCGCCCTATACGAGGGTGCCGTTCAAGGTCCATTATGAGAATCATAAGTCGTTCCTTGTGGTCAAAAACTTGAAGAGATGGATTGAGGTGTCGCACTGGGGCACAATTCAGGTGGAAGAAACTTTGGATGTGAAGCACGAGGGCGCAGAACTGAAGGGTAGTTTCAGCCGCTACGATTTCCAGCGAGAGATAGGTTCCTCACCGGCTGTCAAATCGTTCAAGACCTTCCTTCCCCTTGGGGCAAGGGATGTCTATTACCGTGATGAGATTGGTATGTTATCATATGATTTCTTAACTAACATTTCGTTGCCCTATGCTCAGTTGAGTAGACTAGCTTTCTTCAATTTATCTACTTTTATATATAATAGTCTAAATGCAACTTGTCTATGTTGCTGAACCTCAGGCAATATCTCAACATCGCGAATGCGTGTCCGATTCGACTCGGTAGAAGTGGAACTACGGCCACGTTTCCCGCTATTCGGCGGCTGGAAGACCCACTACGTTCTAGGATATTCTATTCCCACAACAGATTTCCTTCTTCATGATGGTTCTGATGGATTTGTTCTTAAGATAAATTTCATTGATCATATTTTTGACGATGCGGTCATAGACAGCGCTGTCGTTAAGATTGTGCTCCCTGAAGGATCGAAAGACATCCGCCTAAAGTTGCCCTTCATGACTAAGAGACATGCTGACGAACGCCACTACACCTATTTAGATACCACGGGTCGGCCTGTTGTCGTCTTAAGCAAGGAAAACCTCGTTGAAGATCACATCCAGCAACTGGAAGTTCACTACCGCTTCAATAAGATGCTAATGTTTCAGGAGCCTCTGTTAGTAGCTGTAGCACTGTTACTTCTCTTCCTGACCGTCATTGTCTATGTTCGACTCGATTTCTCGATCCGGAGTGATCCCGGTCAAGAACTTAAATGGAAACTTGACTCTTTACTAGAACGTGCAAGCCGCGTGCAAGATAAACGAGATGCCCTTTACAACGGCATGGATCAAGCCCTCGCGAAATATAAGCTATCGAGGGACCAAGCAGGGTTCGAAGCACTGATGAAGAGACACACCGTAGGCCATCGGACGGCGTGCGAAGAGATGGCCGTCCTTGAGGAGGAGGCCAAGAATGGGAAGCTCCCTATCAGTGCCCAAGAGACTATACAAGAGCTCAACCGACAGGATAAAGCACTCCGAGAGCACATGACTGCTCAGGTAGCTATTCTTGAGAAGTTCATCCTGGGGAAGCTAAACAAGCAACAGTACACCGATCAGGAGATGGCTCTTACAAAAAAGAAGCAAGAAGTTTATGAGAAAATTAAGGACATCGCCAGCAAACTGTAGACGATCACGAACGAGTATCTAGTCTGGAAGATCGCAGTAGACTAATCCGCCGGAGGCGGCAGGTGAGCGGTTGAGTGCGAGAACAGGTCAAGCAAAACAATGAAGGGAAGTCAGCGAATGTGAACTATAGTGAACTGAGAGGATGAACAAATGTGCTTTGACGATGTGAGAAAAACTAGCGGCTATGAATAATATCTTCACTCTAGAGAGAAGTCAATGGGTGCTTTATCAAAAGCAGTACCATTGGTGAAGTTTAATAGTATATATATATGAGAGTCGAGTCTTACTCCCTCAATATTGTTCTGCTCTGTATATCTCTCTTCTCAACAACTATAGCAATGCAGATAATAGATAAGTAAATAGGTGGCCTAAAAGTATGCGCATACTTATAACATTTCCACTTAAGCTATTTGGCCGGTGCGCGTCCTCCACCCTAAATATATTATTATACAATGTATGGAAGGTTTTTAAGAATAAAAATATATATACGAATAAAGACGGTCTGATAAATTGTGCTAGATTTGTGCGATGTTTGACCTGTTCGTCAAGTCGATACAAGCGAACTAAACCAATAGGCTCTTTTTGACTATGTGATGGCGAGCTACAAGATATAATTAGGGAAAGTTGCAATATTCCTTAATGATGCGAATTAGCCACTTTGTATCACATGATTTGTTTTTTGACAGGAGCGTGTGCCGATTTTGCGTATTTACTTGATACAGCGGTATTAGCATTTTACTTGTGGAGCTGTTTAGTCTACTTATATACTTATTTTCAGTATTGACCAATCGATGTTTGCACTCTTCATGCAGGGCATCAGGGTTCGTGAGGATTTGCGACTATTGCATTCTAGTTTTATTCGATGCGGGAATTCTTCGATTGTTGGCTAAGCTTGAAATTGATTTACAGTTTCTGTTATTCATTACGAATTATGAAATTATACGCATCAATCGGTGTCAGAGCTAGGAGTCTACTGTATTGTAAATATAAAACTTATTTTTCTGTAACTGGAGGTGTGCAATATAAACCCATCAGTATTAATTCTGAAAGACTTAAATGAGACTAGTCATTAGCCAAGATATACAGGGTACGAATATATTTGAAATGGTTTAAACAGTTTTATTCCTCGTGTTTCTGATTTTCTAACACTTATGACAGATTGTATCGCATTTTCTAGAAGTTAACATCGTTTGCGCACATTACATTTACCCTTTGCAGTAGCCTTCAGCTGCCGTGAGTATCATTACATCGCTTAGTCGTTCTAAATAGAATGACTCCTATCGTGTCACGGGCTAATATTTCCCGTGTTACAATACCTTATCAAAGATGTTTTTCGTTCTATAAATTCATTCGTTCATTCATATTACGCGGGTTATGATTACCAACGCCTTTATCATTTACTGTCTCCCTTCATTCTGCTGCCTAAAAGTTAGATGGAGAACATGATGTCAGTCGATCAGTTTTACATGGCAAAAGAAGAAAGTTACTCCGTGGTCCGCTGGCCACCCTTAGCCGTGCTAACACCAAGCAGTCCCATCGCGATATCGACAACTGTGTAACATTAACATTCATATATCATCGGTCTAGCGCATGCAGTACGTGTTATCGGTCACCTGTTTATTTGGTCGTTGAGTGATGCCATCTAGTCGCTATGAAGTCGAAATCATCTGTTTGAACCAAAGTCTGATGCTTACGCTTGTTGCCTTATGCGTGTTGGTATTGGTGTATTGTGTACAGTCTGTGACATTTTTCCTCTTTTAATCTAGTTGCCGAACTTGGTTATACCTATATGACGCGTGAATCGATGCTTGTTCAGCGTTTGATCGCTGACAACCAACCTGTCCGCCTGAGGTGGCGGTTCGCTCACGTACGGACAACTCAGATTGGGAACAGTCACTTGAACAGTTCTAGTTAGTCTAACAGCCGCTGTGATCGAATTTATAGCCTTCACTTAAACGTGTTCCTGTACGAGGGGACGGAGAAATGTATGCCTGAACGATCACTTGTTCTTGTGTTTCTTGTGAGTGCCACCGGCTTCGTCCTGTTCTGCGTGCACTCGCCAGGCGACGTGCTAGCTTGACTAGTGCGACGTGCTTCGACTGACTACTAACCCACAAAACTGGTGGCCGACCAATAAACTTGTGAAGTGAGCTACGCGTTTTGGCGGTTCCCTCTAATTACTTCACTTCAGCCAATGTATGATCGTGATGCGTAGTGGTGCGCGTCGTTGCTGTAGGACGCCACGGCGTAATCAGTGACTCCCACTGCCGCCGCAAAAGAACTAGCTTTTGTAAACTGCTGCCAGGACAGCAGTAGCAGCAATGAATTTGTTCACCGAGTCGATTAAGAAACGACTCTGTCGTTATGCTCTGCAGAGGTATCTCGGAAACTATATACTTGAGAAGATTTCTCTTGACCAGCTGAGCCTTGAGTTGTCGTCAAGTAGTGGGGCTGCTGAAATCACCAATGTCGAGCTTGATGTCAAGGTGTGTAAAGATCGATCTATATATGTATGTTAGTAAATAGCTGTGCCTGTGTAAGTACACATAATAACAATAATAATAATTCTATCACCCTATATTCAGTTGGTTGGTTAGTTGTTAGCACATCTCATCCTTATTATAGGCCTTTATCTAAGCTGTTTTATGCTCATGTCATTTTTTTCTACAACACAAGTTCGTTTATATCCAGTACATATAGAGTACATACATTTTAATTCAATGTTACTAATGTAATGCCTAACAATGGCCACAATACGCGTAGACGGACCCAAACATATGGCACAATCACGGGTGAAGACTATTCTTTCGTTTAGGGTGCAAATTGCTAGTTAATGAAGTTCAGTAAGACGAACATCATTGCCAGGTTGCTGTAATCGTTGTCATCGGGATGCTAAACTGCATACGACAACAAAGCCTAGCCAACAATCTTCTGTAAAAGATTGTCACTGTCGTGTTTTATCCAGATTAAACTTTTCCACGATATAGTTTTGAAAAGACACATGTAGTTTTCACATTTGGAGAAAGTCGCGTACTGTCATTGATTTCAATATGCTGGAAAATTACGTCGGCTGCCATATTGAGAGGTCCCCATATATTTATATTTTGAATAATAGTTCTGCTATCAACGCTGTGTTTCTACGGATAATAATAATTATTATTATTATTGAGAAAGAGACAAAAACGACTTAGCCAGTGTGCTTACTATTAGCCAGGCAAACGGCTAGTCGCCTGGCTGTATTTGCTGCAGCTTCTGTTGTGTCACTTATAACGAATGAACTCGTAGCGCTGTAGTGACAGGGTTTCTGTTCGGGGTAGCAACTAAATAGTCTGCTCACTGTTGAGCAACTGCTGCCTTTCGTGAGAAAAGCAACAGCAGATTACTAAAATGATAGTCAGATTGAGAAAAGTATATGCTTGTGTCGATACAACTAAAAACAAGCTTACAACAGAATGCGATGTTCTCAAGTACGATATCAGAAGTTTGTATGCCGGATCGGGTCAATAATGCAGGTAGTCAAGACGTAGTTGCCGTAAAAAGCTTTAGAGGGCGCAATCTTGTAATAGGCGAGTGATCATACTAACAAATGAAAGAAATAGAGTGCGTTTTGTCGGAAGAAACGCCAATCGCAGATGCCTATGGAAAACCACCGTTACTGTTTTCCAATACGTATTGTATAGGCATTGTATTGTATAGGAGTGGTGGAAAACCATGTGTATCTTATTTTGATTTATATCGATTACAGTAGACGAGCTATCTGCTTGCTAAACTTGTGAATATTAGTCATTTTCAATAGTATCAGCCAATGTGAAACTGCATAAGTCAAAATGATCAGGCAAACAACAGTTGTTGTATCCTGGTCTGTGGGTGGCAAGTCTTGAAACATAGTTTTTGGCATATGAATTGGAGAATCAAGACGGTAATGCTGCCAATTCCCCTCCTTCCGATTGACATCGAAAAAAAGGCGATGCTATCATTGGGACCAGCAACGCGCGAGTAACTGAAGAAGATAATTTTAAATAAAACGTCCACGAACAGTATGTACAAAATTGAATGTACCTATATATTCTTATATGTATCTAGTTGATAGATCGGCTTAAAGGTTCGTTAGATACAGCTTGCCATAGAGTGTTATAAGGATTAACGACGAAATATAGCTGGACGCGGCTTATTTGATTCATCAAAGAATGACATTCGTAGTTAACAGTACGCGATACAGAGCCATTATGACTGCGGGATGATGCAAGGGCTCATTTATACTGTTCGTTCCGTACTACGGAGAGCCATGCACGGGCATATTCAAAGTCAGTCTGCGACAGTTTTCGTATTCAAAAATTGATACAAATGGATCTAGACCCATCTTTATCAAAATCGCGCTGGGAAGTTCCGGGAGGAATTTTGTCACACCAAAAAGCAAAATGTTTTCTGAATATTATATTCTGAATAATATTATTAATATAATGCTTTAAGAGGTCGAAGCGTATTAATAGTTAGCGTTTTGAAATCGCACAAAACGTAAATGGAAGAGATAGTTGAGATTTTTGTCTTGTCTGCTTACCGTTTATATATATATATATATATATACTCGACCCTACAATCGTACAAATGTGGGATGTTTAATATTTAAAACTGTTATGTCAAGATATATGATATATTTTGTGAGTATCCATATGGGTCAGCTCGTACGTGTCATCGTCAACCCCACATATTCATAAACATCAATTCGATATAAATATAGGCGACTTTGTATATAGTTATAAAAAAAAAAACATCATTGTTTTATATTTCCTGCTGTTGCTTTGAAAAACACCTGAAATTAATAATCACAGAAACAGGCAATACTAGGGGACTAATGAGCTACGCCGCTGCAGCTAGTATTTTTTGCTTTTTTTTGTGTGTCAAAAACCTTTGGCAATTAAAAATAATGTCAATTTAGACATGACTTTCAACTTTTACGTAGTTAGCCTGAGTCGAAATTTAATAGCGTCCCTCCACGACCGAATTTCGTTACTTTTGTGATTTATGTTTTGAAAGTTTCTCAACATACTTATGCAGATAAATGAGACTGAACAGCGCTAGATTCAGTGATCGCAAGCTAAAACACCGGTCGGAGGCCCAGAAAGACGCTGTAGAGACTGCTTTTCGCAAGTCGGTGCTCGTCCTATATAAAAAAGGAAGAATGCATGCTACATTAGTGGCAGCTTTTGGGTGCCTGTTGTATGAGACGCAGCTCTTCTTAGCTGTTGCCAGGTGATGTCACTCGATGAACATGAATATTCGCTAGAGGCCTGTTGTCGGCCATCGTTATTCCTAAGGGTTCCTCTCCGCGTGACAGGCACTGTCAAAGCTCATTTACGCTTTGATATTAACATTATGGAAGACCTTGTCAAGTCTAAACATTTTCTGAAATCATTTGGAAAACCAAGCCTGACTTGAGATTTAAGAAGGTCATGTCAGATTATAGGGATGTCTGTAGCCTATGATAGGCTTTACATTATTTTTTTAATTTATTGTTTTCATTGAAAGTTCCTAAAATGTTTGGCAATTTAGTAACAGCATGGTAACGATAAGCAAATAAGTGTACGTTCCACGTGCTTTTTGTGATTATAAGTAGTTAATTCAGTGTTTATCGGTAATGGGCGTGAACCTAGTTCCAAGGTAAATGTCGTTAAGACACAGAAGATATCAAACTTTGGTTTGACATATGAATTAAGGCAAATAGTCACAAATACAAAGAGTAGCATTACGTTTTTCAAGAGTTGTCTTCGATATTCGGTATGCGTACCGTATGCGTTAACTACTCCGGCAGTTGTTACATGTTATAGCTAAAAGCTTTAAAAATGTCACATTGGATTGCACCTGTAGGATTTGAAACTCTATTTTGACCGCCTTATGTTGCTAAATTCTCAAACATTAAATTTTTAGAATACTAATTTGGAGTTAAAATTTATTTTGCTTAACGCGTTTTTATCGGTATATCGCCAGGGACTGAATGAGCTCAGTGAGACTCAACACTGGCCAATACAATTCATTGATGGTTACATCGAGTCCGTGCGGGTTGAATTACCATGGAGTAACATTCTGTCCGACAACTCGAGGATTCGAGTTACCGGTTTGATGCTGACGGTACAGCCTACGTCATGGGCGGAGGAGGCATCGTTGTTCGAAAGTATGTACTCGTCAATGATGAGCTCGAAGCAAATGGCCGAAGAAATTTTCCGAACTTCCGAACCGGCTTTGGAAACTGAGGTAAGTGTTTAGCGATGACATAGTCTGTCACTGATATAGGTTTTTTAAAATTAATCAGTGTATGTTTATGCTTGCGATAGTGCCACGTATGTATACATATATGGGATGGTTACCATATATCGATATATAATTATATACCGTGATCTCATACCTTCGTTGTATTGTTTGGCGTGTTTATAGACACTCACTGGACTGGATCAATGCGCGGCGGCGATTGAAACGATTTTTAATCGGGTTATCGTCTCATTTACGGACACAATTTTCCGCGTCGAGCAAATCATGCATGAAGGAGAAAATCACTTTTGGACAGCTCTGGAAGTGAAAGTGGGCAGCCTAGAATATCACGATGCTCATGCCTCGAGCGATAACAAAACTATGTTGGAAGAGCTGGCAAGCCGCTCAACAAAAAAAGTTATCCTTAGCGATGTAGAATTTCTCGTCGATAAGTGCGTGAAAAATAATCTATTTTTTTTAACTATGCAAAATGTATATATATGTCAAACAGTGCAAGCTATTGATGCCCGAAATATGTACCAAATGTTAAACTAGACAATTTAAGCTGCAATATTAAATCATTGCCTTGTAACATTACACGATCTAGCTAGGTCTATATTACGCAGATTTGTACACGTAGTGTTTAAACTCAGTCTAAAGCTTATTCGATATCAATTATGAGGATGTAGTGAGCTATTCGTTTATTTCGCAGTAATAATAATAGACAAGCACATTTTTCTGTAGCAATGCTTTTTTTTTTTATTAAAGGTTTAATGACGCGAAGCGCACTGAGCAAAGTTTGCATAAGACGTGTGGGCCTTTATGCGCAACCAACCCCGAAATAAAGAGCTCGCCAGTTACCGTGGCTTTCTTTAAGGGTCCTCAAGAAGTCGAAATCTGCGTCAATCGTAACGACCGGGGAGATCATTCATCCACTCCAAAAATTGGTGTAAAGGTATGTAGGAGAAACTAGCGAATTGAATATACCTTTCCATCAAACCAAACCATTGAATGTACCAGTTAGACTACTTAGGTCATGTTATTGTGTAGACGTCAGTTACACATATCCTGACAGTTTCCTCTTCACTTTGAATATCTAGGTGACTCTGTCGGAAGTTCCAATATATATAGAACCACGTCAGATACTACACTTAACCGCCCTCCTAAATTCATTCGCGGGAGCTACAGGTTCAGATAGCGGAGTTCACCACGAATCGCCTTGCACAGCATTTGGTCCAAAAGATTTTGCTGTGATAGAGCACGAGCTTCAAACAGAATTGAACGGACCCTGCCGACTTTCTTCGGTAAGAGAGAACCGCATCTTTTGCCTAAGTGTCAAGTTTTTGTACCACGGAAGATTATCAAGTTGTTTTAAATGTACGCATGATTGTTTTATCTAAGTTAGTTAACAGGCTTGCGCATCAACGACAGCTAATTTAACTATTTACATTTTACATCATCTTACTTTGCAGTTCGATAGCGTTCCGTCTTTAACCAATATAGGCGCTCTGGGAAACACGCAACATATGTGGGCTGGCAGGTCTGGCGATGAGTATGACGAACAGTATCTGCCCATGAACTCGAATGATTCGCCGACAACCTCCCAGATGACATCGGATATCCTCTGCGGAAATAAGAAAACAATACAAAGCGAATTTAGCCTTCATATCGGCACAGTTTACATGGTCCGTCATAGTGATTTGAATTTTTTTTTGCTAGCTTGGTTAAAGATATCACACTTATAGCACGGAGTATTCATTAGTGTTGCTAAAATCGGGGTGTTGATCCTATATGATCCTACGCCTGAGTACACTAACCCTTCACGAACTTTAGGGGCAATTAAGTAGTACAGTAATAGTAGGCAGGCAAAATATTCTTCATTTCAGGTTATTTTGGAAAAGCAAAATATTAATGAGGAAAGGGACGAAGCAAATGAAGCCAACACACTGAGTAAAAACAACAACGGTTACGCAAAGTTCTTCAAAGAGATTGATGGGGTGCCCTTGCGTGATATAATAACAGTGACCACTTCGGAATTTCTACCCGATAAACATTTTCGACTTGTCCTTCATCCAGTCCAGTTAAAGGGCCGTACATATTCGTCATTGAGTCAACGTTTTGTCGAATTTAAACTTACAATCTCCAATGCCGACTTGGTACGCGGCAAAAAGAATTGGGTCGAGAGTATTGTTGAAGGTCACCTTAAAGCTGACAACGGAACGAAAGAACAAGGTGCGAAATACATTTAGTTAATTGAGGGGGGGAAGTTTTTTAGTTTAGTATGACGTCCCACTTTACTGTGTTTACTAAATAGGTAGATCTTGCATCGACCCCCATTTTTCCTAGTCGGTTTTCAAAGATGCGTTTGATTAATATTCAGTTTGTCAAGACTAATGTATAATTCTATGTTGCTTTTGATTATAGATTGTTATTTGAACAACAGTGTCGGAACACCTCTTTTTACCATGCAAGAGTTGTTCTATTTATTAGGTTCATAAAAAAAATATTTATAGTAACGATATTTACAAACGTGTAAAAAATAAACGTTGCTTTGCCCTTTATATTTGATAAGGTTAGTGTGCAACCTGAAGCTGTAAGTTACTTCTTATTTCTCGCGACGCTTACTTTGTTATGTTTATTACCGTGTGAAACGCTTTAATTATCAAGTTTTTTCACCCTTTGATGTTTTTCAAGGTACAAAGGCATCACGACCAATAAATTAAATAGTATTGATCATTATTGTTTCCCTTCATCCATATAGGTGGCGGTCCACTACCTTTCCTTCGGCTAATGGTGAATCACAGATACAGCAATTCAGTTGCGTCGGGTAAGACACCTGTCTCGGATGTCAAGTGCGATTTTGGAGTAGTGCATTTAAAATATGATCGTCTGTTGGAGTTACAACTATTGGAGATGTTTGAAACACCTGCCGCAACGTCCGGGAATAAAAAATTCGAGGATCATTCGGCTAAACCGCATGCCTTCAACATTGAAATCAACTGCCCTCGGTTAAGCTCTGATCTTCGTTTCCAAGCACTAGAAGTAGCCAATATCAGAAAGGAGCTTCGACCTGACGCACTCACTGTGAGTATAACGTTTTTTCTTTGCCTCGCACTTGAAACAGCGGGGATTACTCTATTTTTGGTGTATTTTTGTTCTTTATCAAGTGCCTTATAGTTTAATAGGATGTTTAGTGTTTCGGATTAAATGAGACACACAATACACGAATGTAACCTAATGGCTCACCGTAACTGGAATTGTTGATGTAAATCGGCATCGCATGATTTGTGGATTTATTTTCAGATTACACTTGAAAAGATTTATATACAGGGAAATTTCTCAAACGACCTTTTGTGTAACGAACTCAAGATCTTATTCCAATGCGGGTTTGCGGACTACCGCCCGGATGCATCCAAAATAAACGAAGTGATCCAGTTAGCTAGAGTATTTTCAGATCCCGATGATATCGGTTGTGGAGCAGCGTCCATTATTATCAAGGCAAGTAATGACAGCTGGCAAATTAAGCAGTTTTACATGAGCTATCGATCGCTTTAAGGTGTCTCGTACAGAACATGAGAAACTGTTTTTAACATAACTATGTTAGACGTATGGATTACGAAAATTTGCCATTTGAGAACGTTTCGTAGGTTATCCGATCATGAAAGGTTCAAGAATTGGTTGGTCCATATTCAGATGTTGGTACATTCGTGTTCTTTTAAAGTGTGACAACCAGAACGAATAATTCTTTTCATTTCAGATATTGGTGTATCATACTGCGCTTTCAAAGAAAAATGATTGCACCTTCGTGCTAAAATAACGCAAGATAGAGGATATCTTAAGATAGAGAATAAGATTTGATTGTTTGTTACAGGTTAGTTCTACAGAGCGTAACCTTCTACAAGAGAATCCTTTGATGGACTCCATGTGCTCAATGCCTGTACGTGGTACAGGTTCGATCGACATGACCAAGTCTATGTACGGAAAGTTTAACGAAAGCGGCCCTTTTAAGACACGCAATGTGGCACCCTCTGAAACCAGTGGGGAAGAAGCAATACTCGCTGGTGAAAGCAAACTTATACAAGCGTTCTACGAGCAGTGTCAGATGAACTCGAAGGTTGTTGTCGACATATCCTTACCCACAGTGATAGTCGAATTTGCCAATCGTGAGCTGTTAGAAATAATCTATAATCGCGTTCTTATCGATCTAGCATATACACCGAGCTGCGAAGCCTACTTTGCTCCCCCGGAGGCAGCAGATCTTAATACTGAGAAAAACCCATTCCTAGAGCGGAACAGCTTTGAGAGAAGTTATGCAGGAGAGCAATTTTTCTACTCGGTGGCTCCTGAGTCCTGTGTCGAAGATCACAGGTTACGTCTTCTCGAGCAGAATCTGCTCTGTTTGTCCCTGACGGTGAACAATGCATGTGTATTGGTTGGCCATGGCTGCGCTGAAAAAAGCGAATATTTCTCGTTCCAAATCAAGCCTCAACAAATACAGCTTTATGTGGTCAACGGGTATCAGGGCGATGCCAATGAGGGCTTTGTAATGCTGCATGCCACTGATGTTGAGGTTTATCATGAGGCGCACAACGAGAAACCGACAGAGACACATGAGGAACTCAGCAAAGATATGATGCTACCCAAAAAGGGAACACGAAGGCTGCTTCAAAGGTTAGAAAATTAAAAAAAAATAAGAGCAAAAATGTGCAAGAAATATTCGATGATGCGTCTCTAATTAAAATAAGTAATATTTGAGTATACACTGCAATGCGTAACTTTGCTACGAAAAAACAGAATCCTATGTTAACTAAAACACACAGATGGACGAATTATTAAGGCTTTTGAGCACTTGCATGGCTGAACTCTTTTGTTCAGCCTTGTATAATCATACCGGCTCTGTATAATCACTCCTTTTTTTCCTGTATGATCACTCTGGTGATAGAACTTGTTACAATTGTTCAGTAAAACAAGTTGTAATTAGTTGTCCCATTCCCTCTTGTTTTTATTATTGCTGTCGCTACCAAAGGATTCATAAGGACACCTTCGGAAAGCTACGTCGCTCATCTGCTAATAATCAACCAAAAAAGGAAATGCTTTGTTTCGTGCTCAGGATACGCGCAGAGCCCACCGCACGTATGAAGAAAATGACGATGGCAGTGAGTGTTGAAGAAACGGCATGGTCTCACGAAATGACTCCTTCAAGGCAATTGTGGATTTTACAGCTAATGGAACTAGCCACATTAAGGGACATGCCTATTGCTGGGCATGTTCCCTCGTCTATCGTTACTGAGCTACACTTCAACCTTGAGAGGTCCATCATTGATTACAGGTAACTTACGGGCTGCTATTATCAACCTCGTTTACGACGTGGCTCTTTGGTGTTTAGCAACCAATGTAGACTAAAATAGTGTTAATATGGGCATAAATTATAATGCACGTTACTACGAAAGTAGCGGTCTTCTATTTGTTTATACCTTTCTAAGTAGAGCTAAGGCCAAATAGCACTTATCTTACTTGTACAGTATCATAATTTCTAATTAACTGTTTAAAATGGTCTTTTGACTTACATTAAATTACTTACTTAAAACTTGACGTACTAAATTGTAGCCAGGACTATCGGCTTTTCTGGAGTTTTATTAGTGAAAAACAAACAGGATAAAGAACCTAACCTTGTTTAGTACACACAAAGCGGTAAGTGAAGTATGTTAAACGTAGTAACCATTATTTCGTTTTTCTTCTTGCAGACCCAATTACATTCCGTACAGTTTGATCCTGAGCATTGAGAACTTCTCTCTGTCAACTAACGTTGTGCCCAAATCTTCAGCGTCTACCTTGCGACTTATCTTCGAAAATACCAGCCTTCTCGTTGCATGCAATATCGACAAGAGGAAGACAGCCGATATACTAGAGGGTACGATTTCACGGAATTGAAATGATTTTGTAAAATATATTTTCTTGTTAGCTGTCCTTTTTGACATTTGTCATGTGCTCTGTAATAACAATCTTATTCTATACTGTTAAACGGAAGGGTGCACATATATATATTTTGTATGTATATTTTGGCCGACTATCTTCAAAAAAGCTCGAACGATGCTTACCAGCTTTTCTTATTGGACCTGACTTGACGCGAACATATTGTGACGAGAACGACGTGACCAGAAAAAGTTGATTTTATGTTAAAAAGAACAAACTAGAACACAACAGGGCGATATTTCGATAAGGACGACTGAACAATCAAGATAAGCTTATGGAAATATTGCTGGCATGTGGTCAAATTGGGCAATGTGGTAAGGAGAAGTAGTGGAATGGAAAATGCCGTTAATCGTAAAACGTGATGGGATAACCGCATTAGTAATAAGGATAACTGCGACGCGATAACGAACGTATTAGAACAATTGTAACAAATTGAAACGTAACTTAGAACTTGTAGAATTCAATTTAGGTTAGGCGCAGCCTTTGTGGGCAAAAGGGGTGGATATTGTGCCAATGTAGCACTGATCGCTTCAAAACAAGTTGAGTGGCGAAGGCCGTCGGTTTTGATATTAATGGTAATAGTTATAAGATCACAGTCATATGTTTATTTGAACTTAAATAACTCCATTCTTAGTTTTCAATATCTATACAGATTCTAAAAGTTTTTATTTGTTATGACCACAAGCTGCCCGAATAAACGTGGTGCGTTAAACTGTAATGAGACGCCTAGCTGGTAAGATACTCATATAAAGTATTGAAGGAAACCCGATTTATGTGAAACGTATTCAATTACAGATTACGTATGTGTGATCTACGCCGACCTGTTGGACCTTCGAATCGTGTTAACCGGCTCCTCACACCAAACTCAGTCTTCACCTGAATGCTCCTTTTCTCCTGGTTCGACAGCATATCTCAAGAGTTGTCCTGCACCCGAAACGGATACCGTCATCGCTCCTGCTCTGCAGTTCACAGCATCCAATAATGAACTGCAGATTAGAACGTGTGCAGATTCATTACGCGCTCTACAGGCGATAGCCATGTATGTTTCAAATGATGGCGATCTGGTTGCTACCAGGGAGCGAACTCCCAGCGAGCCCCATAGAAGTTCGTCAGTCAGCTTAGCAAGCAATAGTCCACCTCAGCAGGGTTTTGAACAGCTTCAGAATGACGTTCCGTTGTCGCAGGCTTGTCCGGTACGAAAAATTTTCGTTCTGGTGTTTTTAATGTGATTTGATCAACTTCATATGCACTCCCGTTTTGCACATTTTACAAAGGCTCTATCGCAAAAGCTACCTAATTGACTCCATATAGTTCTGTTGCTGGATCGCTTTTATGCCCTTCATTGGCTGATGCATATTCATTGACTGATACATATTATTGTCCACACGCAGACAGCAGCACCTCCGTCCTATGATGATATAGTTGAGAACATGGAGGACGCGATGTCTGATTCTGATGACAGATCCCATTCCGATGAGCGACTCTCCCAGTTCAGTTCTTCGTCCAGGTCTCCATCGTTCGATCACGGCACGGATTCGTCACCAGCGGATAAAACCGTATTTTATAGTGCAAGTCAGGATAATGAATTTTTAATCCTTGAGGATTTGCCCGGGTCTGGACACCTTAGGGATAAAACGCAGGAGTCAATTCGCGTCATTAATGGAGACGAGATCGTATTGATCGACAACTACCTCAAGGGTATGGAAATATGCCATTTTAAAACCAAAAGTGCGGTTTCTAACGTTATTTCAGTAGTAAGCTATTCGTTCATTCATAGCTCTTTTAATTCGTGGCTTTCGCTTTAAAAAAAATTACATATATTTTTGTTACATCCAATATCATATACAAGATAACAACGTACTGTTCGACATTTTCATTTGCAGCTCCATCAGAAAAAACGGATCAATTAAAAGCTCCCAAAGGTTACCCAGACCCAGTGGAAAGCTATACTTTCCAACAACAGAAGCTCGTATGGTTTATTTACGGAGGGACAGATTTTGGAGAGTCACGCACGGTCATGGATCGGATAACTGATTTGAAGACGTTAGGAGGGCAGGGTCGAATGACAAACAATTATATGGAGCTGGCTCTTACGAAGATCCGTTTCCGACATGAATTATACGCGCCCGGTGAGACGAAAGCCTCAAGGCAGTGTCTCTACATCAAAGACGTCGAAATCATCGATAAACTGCCTACATCGGAAGCTAACAAATTCCTCTACCAGTACAGCAGTGATTCTTTACCCCGCCAGGCGAATGCCAACGTTCTGACGTTTAAAAGATCTCAGATGGCTCCTGAGAATGAGTGCTCAATATACATATCGGTGAAACCCCTTCGGTTGAATGTCGACCAGGACGCATTAATATTTCTTACGGATTTCTTCACTGCGGTAAGATATTGCTGAAGATGTAAAAGCAGCGCGATGCTATCGGGGATGGAAGAGAGTAAAGATCCTGTTGAGAGAGAAAATTATTTGCATATTGATTAACAATATACCGTGTATTGCTTTATATAACAAGCATGCGCCCATTAGCGTCTCTAAGTGATATTGATAACAATAATCAGTTGTCGAGTATGTTACAAAGTTCTTTTTTCACAGAATGTGTTAATATAATATGAAATTATATTTTTCTAGGTAACCGGGTCAATGACAGTCGCGGCCCCAAATCTTCCTCGAACGCGCTTGGCTTCTCCGGCTGGACAACCTCTTGAGGTTCCAGCCATGTTTATTCAGTCATTTGTTTTCAGTCCCGATGTGCCTATCATAATTGATTACCGCGGCAGGCACGTTAATCTCGATAACGGTGCTGTCAGTGGACTAATTATGGGCTTAGCTAGTTTCTCGTGCATGGAGCTCACTTTGAAGAATATGAAGAAACGCAACGTTAAAGGTTACGACAGGCTAAGAAAATATGTCGTGGATGAATGGTACAACGACATAACAAAAAGACAGTTACACAACGTGGCCTATTCGGTGGGTCCTATGCATTCTATTGTGAAATTGGTCTCTGGCGTCCGTGATCTGGTCGTACTACCGGTCGAATCGTACAGAAAAGATGGTCAAATCGTGCGCGGCTTCCAGAAAGGGACGAAGTCGTTTGGTACCAACGCTGCTCTTGCTTTTCTCGATTTGACAGAACGCGCTGTTAGTACAATCCAACAAGCAGCTGAACTAGCGTATAATCTTCTATCGCCAACAGCAGGCCAAACAATAATGCCACCCGTGTCACATCAGCCTCTTGATTTTCGAGAGGGCGTCCACAACGCCTACATCGTTATGGCTAACGGTATCAAGGACACAACACGCACTCTAGCTGCAGCTGCGGCCACTGACACCCGCAATAGCAAAGGTGTAACGGGAGCAGTTGGTGAAGTTCTCCGCCAGATACCCCCTGCCATGGTCAGGCCGATTATAGATGCGACCGTGGCTACCAACAACGTACTCAATGGAGTTAAATACCAACTGGTGCCGGAGGCTCGACAAGAAGACTTAGACAAATGGAAGAAGCCTCACAACGGGAAGATGAATTAAAAAGGTTCACTGTATCCGTACACTTTCGTTGCACACTGATGTACTTTCGATATCGTTATTGATTGATTGCTGTTTCCATTGTTGTATGTGGACTTACACAGTATGTCTACCTACTGTTGAAAAGCTCGTATCAAGAATGGGAAAACAAAGTGAGAGACAATGATTCAAACATGGCGTTTTATTAGGTGCGTGAAAAATAGTAACAGAAATAAAGTATAGGGAGGAAATAAAAGGAGCGGAGGGAAGGAGCAAGAAGCCAAAACTGACTGGAGGAAAATAACCTCATGCATTGTCATATAGTTACTTTAAGTATATGACCACTGAGTAAGGATCTTTGCACCCGATGGCGCGTGATGAGTGCTTGTTCTTCTTGTTTTTTTTCAAACAAAATCGTGTGATATTAACAGAGCTGTTTGACACAAGATTTAGTAGTTATAATAGCATGAAAGCATTATTAATTATACTATGTTATTATAGTACTTGTCGGAGAAACGATTAATTAAAAGAATTGCGGTCGTAAGCAAAACTCACCAGAAAAGAAGAAAAGAGGACTCATTAGAGAAGAAGAATAAAAATACAAAATATAAGATTCATTTATGCTATGTTTTTAAGGGAGCTAAAAATGAATGCAAAATTAGCTGTGTATTTGAAGATGCAATAAAATGGCTACGGCCGTTGCTCCATAGATGGAATTCCGTCTAGCAAAATGAAAATTAAGCCATCAGTGGACGGCACGCAAATTGATCATGAATCACGTTCAAACTATTAACTAATTGATTTATTTACATCCGGTCCGCTGAACATAAAAATAAATTTGTAGTCTTAGTCTGCGCCGGGCCCCTTTCCACTCTGCGTGAATGCCTATGTTCTTTGTAATACCCGCCGTGTTTTACAAAAAAAAAAAAAGAATAAACTAAGAAAGAGAGGAAAAAGACAATGCGCCCATATGCATATGGATCATTCACTAAGATTACGTCAATGTGAACTATGCTATCACTTATATACAGATATTTCTATTATTATTATTATTAGACAATATTTTTGCTTCCAATACCGCAATAGCTTTGTAGCAAGATGGTGTGTACAGGGCGTTATGCCTTATACACACGTATTGTTTTGAGGATAGGAAAAGGACCGATTTTCTCTTATTCGTAGCAAAAACGTATGACTTGGTGAAGCCAAGGACGCTTGTTCTGCTTGTATGCGTGTGTGTATGCGACAGAGTACAAGATGGTTAACTCTAGAGAATTTTTACTCATTGGAAAGCTGAGTATTTAGTAAAAAACATAATTATGCTTTAAAACACAAGACAGCGATAAATAGAAGCACACTATGTGAGTTAAATAAGGTCATAGTAAGTGGAAACAATGCTTACGTTCGATACGGGGATATGCGTATATATGTGTGCGTGTGTATTTGTATGTGGTTGTAGAAAAAAGTGCTTTGAAGAAAGGAATGAACTGTGAGTAAAACGACAATATCTATTACAATTGAAAGTAATATCTATGTTATTGTACCATCGCTACCAATTTAACAGTGAAGACAACAATGACTACGGAAGTGAGGACAAGGAAAATTCTATAATGCCACATTCAGGCCTTGACGGTCACTGATTAATATTTTATGGCGAACCTAATAGTATAATAATTCCAGCAAAGAGACCTTGGTCGACAAATGCTGAGTAGATAGTACGGATAATATGACATTTACGCTCGTGTAAATAAAACAAAATGACTATTTTGGTTATTAGAGCATTTTTTGCTATGATTGTCTTTCATTATGTTTTCTGTATGCCTTTCATTAAATACTGCAGTGGGTGATATGCGCCACTCAGTAATACTTACTCGGAAAAACGGATCAGTTAAAATTAAATCGTACGTTTGTTCACACAAACAGGATGAACTACTGAGTAGAAAGACCTCGTGTGTTACATGTAAAGAAGGAATGCAGGTGGGCTGTGTTCATGAAATCGCTTGTACATCCTCCACAACCACTCACTGCACTGCTCAGAAAAGGTGGTACTTTGCTATGCAAATCTTCGTTTTTGGTTCAAGTTATATATTATTACGATCTTATAGAGGGAGCAAATATAGGAGCTAGTTCAATTTTGTAGAGCCCCACAAACAACAAAAATTGACTAAACGACTGACTTGTGCGTCAAGAGACTTGTTTTCACACTGGGCTGAGACGAAGGATGATGGTCTTTCTACATAGTATCTGTCTGTGCTCAGTAAATTTTGTAGAGCACACGTAGCGGTGACTCGGAAAATCGTACGTCGCATATCTAGGAAAATGCTATCTCGTAGTGTTACGGGCGACGGCGCACTCTACGGTCGAAATACTCAATGCTTGCATATGCTTCCAAAAGTATAACAATGGTACGTCAAAGTCGATATGTAATTATGCTCAGCTATGTTTCATTCGATCATGTTCTCTCTTTATGGGTTTGTAGACGTGATCTCCAAGTTCAAAGAAATCTCCTCACATTAAGTATGTCAACCACATTTGACAACATTTGGTCACTTCGCAATTGACTCGTTGCTCTCGATCATACAAACGCAATAAATCATAATTATAAGCCCTACATTCTACCTTAGTAATGATATAGTGAAAATCGACACGTTTTAAAGCCATAATTAACATATTATATTCGTACTAACATATAATGGGATGAAAACGGCAAGAAAAAGTTTAATATAATTTGAACACTTGATTTTCTGAACCTGTAAGATTTCTTTATTTGATGAATTCTGAGGGCCGCTCAGGAGCTGGTCAGAGCAAATTGAAACTTCAATGAACAGGCAAAGTAATACCGGAGTAACCACCTATACCCGAAGTAATAAATGTTACTAACAAAACCGTACGCTATATCAAAGAGTACAGATACATTAGTTCTTTTTTTTGTGATATTATACATATCACGCGACTGTGGAAAACGGAGTTATTAATGCATAAGTCATGGGCTAGAAAGGCTACCAAAGTGAGTTTTGAGCAGCTTGCTTGGACGAATTCTAGTTCAATTATGTGTTCCTCCATTCGGATGCGTCAGCAATGTCATTACTATGAAGCATATGTGGTAGTTGATTATTGTCAATAATAGATCGTTGTCTATATTAGAATTAGTTACTTTATAAGATCTATAAGATAAAGAGCGATAAAATATGTTAAACAAAAGTTGTCAATGAGCGCGATCTAATCTTTAATTGATCAAGGGAAGAAATAGTCTTTTTTGCCAGAGAAAAACATGGACGGCATACACAGAGCAGTAACAACTCACCCTATGCAGATTATGGGCCGACATCGTTACAAAATTAAACACAGTACCCATATTATTGAAGCACTGCAAATTATATTACGCAAATATTGATACAGCAGCTTGTTCGTATGAAACGGTCGAGCTTTTGCAAGTCTAGTTGTATTTCTTACAGTGTCTAGGCAGCCGCCACCTTAAAACTAGCTAAAAGGACGTAGATATCGCGTTTCTTGAAACATATATTACCTGTTAATTAAATAAATACGGATCATTAACCTTATAGATTATACAAGATAATAGCTTCTGGTGGAAAATTGTACTTGAAATATTCTCCTACCTATAAAACAGGGCCGCACACCAGGAGCAGCTGGGAGCATCTTGCAAAATGATAACGTTAAGCAGTGAAGTGAAAAAGGCGACTCAGCCAAAAATTTTACGCGAGTCTAATAACTTATCTACCATTCAAATGACAGAATAACCTCGGTTTTCAAAAGCTTTGGCTGAAAATGTTTTAAAAAAGTGATGCCTCAATATAATCTACTCCGTGAATGAACTAGGTTAAACTAGCTTATAAATTGCAGGTTGCAGAAGGTTTGCAATCGGCATGTGCGTACTAAAAGATTTTGCATGCCTTTTTTTAAATACTGGTTGCTCAATCATTTTTAATTTAACTAAATCAAGTGGATACTTAGCGAACTGAAGAGTCCCTATTGCTAAGGCGGATTATAGCAAATTCATATTTTTTTTTTATATTGAACTAAATTCTGTATAAATTGGATTTTTTTTTCGATAGTTAATTTTGTCTATTACATATTTCTTGCACCATAGTAAAGTAGTACTAGGTCATCTACTCTATTGGTCTAGCACCGCCCAGGACTGGGAAATAATTAAATTAGAATTTATCATTTTGTTTATAAAGCTTCGATATATTAAGTTCAACGGACCTGACATTTACGATCATGACAGATTTCTTATCAATTGTAAATGATAATATGTACTTTTCAAGGTGAGTTTTGTACTCCAATAAATACTGTTCGCATTTACGCCCTGTGGTCGACGGACCCCGTTAGATGTCGCATACACTGTCCAATGTGTCTGAGAGTTGTCGATCAAACTTTGCAGGGGTGTATGTATAATAGTAAAATACATTCCAATAATGTTTAGGCGCTCCTGGCGATTGTCTGCTCTTCACGACGATGACAACGGCAGCAACGATGGCTACCGTGATCACCTTTCCACAGAGGGCATATCGCCATCGCCACAACATGGCGGCGTGTGTGGAACGCCGAACGTATTTTTTTTGTTTTGGTTGTTTGTGTTGTGGCTATATGTATGGGACAAACTTGTGTCTGATGTAGTACTCGATCTCTGGCGCATGTCTGGCCTCTGTGTCGATGACTTTGTTGTGTTAGCTGACTACTGCTGTCGTTGTTGCATCCATCTAGTAAGCGATCTAGCGAGCCACCTCCCCTTGGCTAGCTGCCTTCCTTCTGTCTGCCTGCCTGCCTGGCAGCAGCAGCGTCCTGTGTTGATTTCCGCCGCCATGGGTGAGTGTAGGTCTTCTGTCTGTCTGTTTGTTGTGTTGAATGCTCGGTAGTGTGTGTGTTATGCAAAGAAGAAGGTGGTGCCTGGTGCTAGGTAGTTACTGGCCAATCCACCGGATGAATACTTACACTGTAGTTAGGTAGGCAGGCAGGGAGATTAGCTAGTACGACCACTAGCACGACGACAGGCAGTGGGAAACACAGGCGGTTTTCAGTGCTGTGGAGCGGTAACACCGGGTTGATCGGGAATTACGTGACAGGTGCGGTCTTCCCGGGCAGACCACCGAATTTGGACAGCTGACAACGTCTCGCTAGCCGCCTCAGAATTGTCACCGGCGGCAGGTAGCGCGTTCGACGCCAAACGCAGTCGTTTGGAGCTCGAATCGCTCATCGTCGTCGGTATTCTATTGTTCAGCCTAGCATCACGGCCACTCTCCGTGTCTATTGAGAGTATGCGTGCGTCCAATTCGAGATACAGATAAATGTCTTACAACATGAAATAGCTTCCTCCGCCCGCCCCGCTCAGGGTTTCAGCAGTAAAAGATTTCTCATCTCTATTCGACATTTATTCATCATTTGAGATGCTGGAATGAACGTTGCTATCGTTACGTGTCGGAGTGTTCTCAATTATTCTTCAGCCATTGTGACCGTACAAAAACGACAAAAGCCTACGACACCCATAACAATCAAAGTTCATCAGGAAAGGAAGCAGCTACAGCAACACCAACTGCAGCAGTTGTCGGTTGAAGGTGTACTAATAAAATTGTGCAGCAGAATAATGCCTGCCACTGACGTCGACTGGTAATGGTGGTCACGGCGATAGAGCACCGATCTGTGCGGGCGCCATGGTGTTGAAGTGCTGTTGAAGTGTTACAGAGAAAAATAGTGAGAGAAGCGACGAACCGCATAAGAGAGAAAAAAAAAGCTAGCGTTATAGATAGGGGTACATAGAGTCGGAAGAGCTCGTTGGGCGAAGAAAAGCAGCGAGCGATTATTACAAAGCAAAAATAGTCGTGGAATCGAAGCGTTGAATGTATGCGGTCGTTGATCGGTCGTACGCGGGAAGTCGTAGGGCGAAAAAGTTCAAATAGAGCGTCCCAGCCGTATGAAGTACCGTGCTCTATGAAGATACTGC